TTTATTGCAGTAACATTGGTTTATAACATTGTAAAAATTTCAGGTGTACATCATTGTACTTCTATTTCTGCATGGACTACATCATGTTCACCACCAAAATACTAATTACAACCCATCACCACACACATGTACCGAATTATCCCTTTCACTTGGAAAGGACAGAGGGTAAACAAATAAACCCAGGCTTGCAAAACTCAGATGCCTGCAGGAGATGATGAGAAAGTATAAATAAAGCAGGCACGTGTGGTGGGGACAATGACACAGAGCAGCCAAAACTCAGCTTCAGCCAACTGCAGCCCTTCAGAAATGGGGACTTACTTTACTAGATCTTCTGATTTTTCAAGAATAGCTAGAAGTTTTTAAAGGATTATTATTTTTACGGGAATTCGCCCAACCTTTAAATATTGGCTCAGAGAAATCTTTACACACTGCTTGCCAAACAAAGTACATTTATGGGCCATTGCTGCCCTGCAGCCTGCCAAGTTGCAATTTCCAAAGTAAACAGATGAGAAGACAAGATGATTTCAGAGAGTGATGTATGCTAGGATGGGAAGGGGAGTGACATCCAGGGACGGAGCAGGGACTTTACATGGTGTCATCAGAAAAAGCTATTTGAGCTGAGACCCAAAGGATGAGAAGAAGCCAGCCATGCACAAAACTGAGCAATGGCAGTTCCAAGCAGAAAGAATGGCTGGTGCAAAGGCCCAGTGATAGAATGGAGTATAGCGTGTTTGAGGAAAATAAAGAAGGTCACTGTGGCCGCAACAAAGGGAGTGGGGGAGGGGGAGAGCAGTGGGCCACGGAAGTGCAGAGGTGGGCAGGAGTCAGATCATGTGGGACCATCTGATGGTCATGCCTTAGGCATGGATCCTAGCTGCCTCCCCTCTCAGACCCTGGAGTCTGGCCTCAACCTCAATCAATCCCTGACCCTCCTTCCTCCCTGCACTCCAGTTCTCCCACGGTTTTTAATCAGGGACCTGGAGAATGCAGCCTGGAGTCTGCATACTGTGGCTCAACGGCCTCTATCAGCCCTTCTTGGCCCCACCAGCCCAGCATTAGGGCACTAGAGGTGGAAAAGGAGAAGGAGACATTGTCCAGTCCATTCATTCCTTTGCTAATTCATGCATCCTTGCATTCATTCAATGGATTTTAATTGAGCTGTCACTATAAAGTATATATAAAATATATAAATGAGACTAACAAAGCCCCTGTCATGGACTTTCACCCTAGAAGGGGAAATGGACAATAATCAAGTAAAGGTATTGCTGCAGTCTGAATTGTGTCCCCCTCAAAAGTTCATACGTTGGGGTTCTGACCCTCAGTGCCTTGGAATTGGACTATATTTGGAGATAGGGTCTTTAAAGGGATAATTAAATATAAATGGGGTGATTAGGGTGGGCCCTCATCCAATATGTCTGGTGCCCTTACAAGAAGAGGAGATTAGGAGACAGACACACACAGAGGAAAGACCACGTGAAGACTCAGGGAGAAGACGGCCATCTACAAGCCAAGGAGAGAGGCCCAAGAAGAAACGAACCCTGCCAACATGTTGATCTCGGACTTCCAGCCTCCAGAACTGAGACAATAAATTTCTGTTGTTTAAGCCTCCCAGTCTGTGGGACTTTGTTATGGCAGCCTTAGCAAACACGAGCATACAGAAATATACAATCTCAGGTAGTGATCAATTCTATGAAGAAAAATAAGGCAAAGTAGAGACACAGCAGATAATGGGTCTACATTAGACCAGGTGGTCAACAGTGGTGCCCCTGAGGAGGTGATGTTTGATCAGAGACTTAAATGATGTGAAGAAATGAGACATGAGAAGATCTGGTGGAAGAACATTTCAGGCTGAGGGGATAGTAGCGCCAAATGCGTTGAGGAGGGAATGAGCTTGGAGTGTCTGAGGAATAGCCAAGAGGCCAATGTGGGCAGAGCAGAAGGAGCAAGTGCTAAGAGATGAAGTCTCATGTAGTCAGGAGCCAAGCCACTTAAGACCTTGGAGCCATGTTATCCTAGTGTTGGTAATTTATTGGTGGCTTTTGATCCACACAGGAACCATGATATGATTTATGGTTTAAAAATATCACTAACCCAAAAACAAGGGGTAGGTAGGATTTGGCCATGGGCTGTAGTTTGTAGATCCCTGGCCTTGACACACTAGCCTTGTGCCAACAATCTAACCAAATGCTCTCACGTCCCGTCTCTTCCACTAGACCTTATGAGGTAGGTGTTATTATTATCCTCACTTTACAGATGGGAAACTGAAGCCTAGAGAGGTGGAGCTGGGGTCTGAGCCCAGCCAGGTTTATTCCATAGACTATTCTTGTAGGCACATCACTATACCTCCTCCCTGATGGAGCCTGACTTCCCTTGTATGACCTAGAAGGGTCCACGTGATCTGGTCCCTGTTTACTTCTTCAGCGTCCTTTCAAGCTGCATTTCCTGTCCTTTAGTAGTATGGAGTAGGACTTCGTCAGGTCTTTAAATGCACCAAATTCTTTCAAGCCTGGAGACCTTTATGCTGCTTGGAATAACTTTCTGCTTACCCCTCCCTGAGTCTGCCTTACACATCCTCATTCTTTGCATCCCTATTTAATGTACACTTCTTCTGAAAAGCCTTCCCTGACCACTGCCACTTAAGTCTACATTGGGTCTCCCTGTTATACACTTTCCTCTTACTCTTTTCTTTTCATTTATAGCATTTATCACAGTTGGTAATTATTAACATATATTAATTTATATGAGTATGTTTACTTGTCTAATTTCTATCTCCCCCCCTCCAGACCATGAGGGCAGGAAACTTGTCTGTCTCATATCTCTAAAACATAGAACAACACCCGACATATATATTTTATGGAGGGAAACAATATAACCTGAACATAACCCTTTACCTAGGTAGACCTCAAAACTTAATCTGCCCCAGTTCCTGACACCCAATATAATCATAGTAATTACAGCATCAAATCCACCCCTCACTTTCATTTGATTGTACAGTTTGCAGAACATTTTCATGCCCCAGACTTTCACAAAACACTTTCACATCCACCCTTCATGGCATCCCCAAGAATCACACAGGCATGAGTTCAATAATAACACCAGCACCAAATTCCTACAAGCAGTAAATTCCATGAGAACAAGGATCATCTTAATCTTATTCATCATTCTATCCCCAGTAGTACCTAGCACATCATCTAGCACTTACTAGATATTAGAGACATACTATTTGAATGAATGGATGGATGAAGAGATGGAAAAATAGATAGATGGAAGGAGAGAGGGAGGAAGGGAAGGAGGATGGATAAGAAGGAAAGATGGAAAAGAAAGAAAGTAAGAGGGAAGAGAAGGAGGCAGGAAGGAGGCAATTGATGCCTTCATTGAAAGGATGGATGGATGGAAGGATGAATGGTTGGATGGATGGGTGGATGAATGGAAGAATAGGATGGATGGATGAATGGATGAGTAGGATGATGGATGAATGGATGAGTAGGATGGATGGATGAATGGATGAGTAGGATGATGGATGAATGGGATGGGTAGATGGACGGATGAATAGGATTGGTGGATGGATGAATGGATTAATAGGATCGATGGATGAATAGGATAGATGGATGGACAGGATGGATGGATGGATAGATGGATAGATGGATGGATAGGATGGATACTTGATAAATGGATACTTGGATGAGTGAGTTCAAGGATATGGAAAGATTTAAGCCCAGAGACAGAAAAAGATTTGCCCAAGGTCACACAGCTCTTAAGAAGTTGGGACTCCAATCCAGATCTTTTGATTCCCTGTTGATTCCCTGGTCCTCCTTTTACACTGTATCCTCCTCACGCTCCCTGCTCCAGTCACACTGGCTTTCTTTCAGGATCTCAAATTCATCAAACTTTTTCTAGCTTGGCTACCCATACTTTGACATTTTAAGTATCATCTCCTCAGGGAAAACCTCTCTAATTCTCTGCTTTAAATCAAGTGCTTTCATTACATATTGTCATAGAACTCTAATTTTCCTTCATAGCTTACTGCAGTTTGTAATTGTGGGATGGTTTGCATTATTTCTGTGTCCTTAACCAGATGATAATCTCCATAAGGGAAGACACCTTTCTGTCTTGTACACTCTTATATATTATATATACATATACATACGTGTTTAACATGTATATATGTATTGGGTGTAATGTGTCTGTGTGTGTATCAATGAATTAAATGAACTAAATGAATGAATAAATGAATAAAATGAATGAAAGGAAAGAGGATGACTGAATTTTCCCCTTCATTTAGGAAGATATCTAAGGCAACAAAACAATAGTAAGAATGTGATCATTATTATTTCCCATTCATGCATGCTCTTGAACACTCATATGTCTCCCTGGCCTCATCCTGCACCTAGCCTCTACTTCTTTTATTAATTAAGGCTGCCATGTACTTTTGTGCAAGCTTTGCCCTGTTTTATGCTCTGATCTTTATTCTGTCCCTCAAAGTTACTGAATCTTTTACAGCCTTCATACATGCTATTCTTTTTTTACCACCACCATTATCATCAGCACCACCACCATCACTATCACCACCAACATCGCCACCATCATCACCACTATCACCACCACCAACACCACTATCATCATCACCACCACCACTACCACCAGCATCACCAGCATCATCACCATCACCACCATCACTAGCTTCACAACCACCACCATCACCACTACCACTATCATCACCACCATCACCACCACCACCACCATCATCACCACCACCAGCATCACCACCACCACCACCATCACTAGCATCACCAACACCACCACCACAATAAAAATCACCAATATTGCCACCACCACTGTCACCACATACCTTAACTAGACAATTCCTATTTATCCTTCAATTATCAGCTTAAATGTCACTTTCTCGAGGAGTTTCTATGACACGCCCCCACAGCACAGTGATTTATCATAACTCTCATCACAATTATAGTTGAATTATTACATTGTAATTACTGGTTTTTGTCTACCATTGCCAGACTCTAGGCTCTATGAGTGCATACACAGTGTCTGTCTTGTTAATCTTATATCTCCAGCCATTAGCACTGTGCCTGGAACACAGTAGGTGCTTAGTAAATACACAAGGATAAATAACTGAAGCTTATATAATCAATGACCTCTCTATCCACCTTAGAAAACATTTGATCCAATGAGGACTACATTTCACGAGATGTAGCATTGTTTTGGACACTCAACTCCAAGAATGTAACAGAGTTACAGACTTGTTGCAGACCCCAGGTCCAGATCTAAAACAATGTTTGGAGACCTTCCAATTCTCAGCCAACAATAGGGCTTAGAACTCTCTTATATGTGAGCCTACTACAGCCCTTGTGCTTCCCAGCATGTAACAGTGCTTGGAGACCTCTCCCAACCTCCCAGCATGCAACAGTGCTTGGGGACCCCAAGTTCAAATCTAAAAAGTTGTTTGGAGACCCCCTCAATTCCCAGCCAACAACAGGGCTTAGAATTCTCCCATCTTTGGGACTTCTACAGCCCATGAGCTTCCTCCAATTCCCAGCATACAACAGCGCTTGGAGAATCTACCTCCCAGTATGCAACTGTGCTTAGAGATCCCACTTCCCAGCATGCAACAATACTCGAAGACCCTGGGTCTACATCTAAAACAGTGTTTGGAGGCCCCCCAATCCTTAAGCAACAACAGAGCTTGGAATTCTCCCATCTTTGAGCCTACCTTGGGCTTCTCCCAACTCCCAGCACGCAACAGTGCTTGGAGATCCAACCTCCCAGCATGCAACAGTACTTGGAGATCCGACCTCCCAGCATGCAACAGTGCTTGGAGATCCCACCTCCCAGCATGCAACAGTACTTGGAGATCCCACCTCCCAGCATGCAACAGAGCCTGGAGATCTGAGCTCCCAGCATGCAATGTCCTCAGTCTCTAGGCTCTCAGCCCTCACCTGAGAGGCCCAAGCAGATGGCTCCAACTCGGAGCAGGAACTGTGCACCTTTGCTGAGCACCATGATGATACAGAGGCACCCCAGGGCCATGACTGCCAGGCCTAGCACTGCTATCACTGCAGCCGCCAGATTCACCTCTGCAAGGACGGGAAGGGGAAGAAGCAGAGAGCATGGGATGTAGGGAGTGGGGAGAACTCCCCTATAAAGACCCAGAAACAGGAAGATGGAAGATTCAGAACTAGAGAAGAATTTTCATGTAGAGGATTATCCAGTCCAATATTTTACTTATACTGTTGAAGGAATTAAGACTTGGAGACGGTCAGTTATTTGCTTAAGGTCACAGAGCAAATGAGCCAGGATTAGAAGGAGACGGGAACTACCAATTATTACTTATGATCTGGTCACCATTTGTTTATAGGTGAGGAAACTGAGGCAGTGGGCGTGTGGGCAACAACAGAGGAGGTGGTATGTTACAGTGGGATGATCCAAGTCGGAATTCCCCCCAGCCACTTCCTATCTGGAACATTTTGGTAAAGTCAGGGAACCTCTCTGAACCTCACTTTCCTCCTCTAGCAAATCAGGATCAAAATTCCTATTTGATTGGGCTGTTGTGAGGATTAGAAATCACGTATGTGAAGTGCCCAGTGCAGTGCTTGGCACACAGAAGTTGCTCCATGCATGTGCACCATGATTATTTTACTATCTTAAAGGGGCAGAGTGACTTGCCCAAGCTCACTCAGCACAAAGACAAGAGAGAAAGCATTGGAGAGAGTAAGAACCACTGTTTATTGAGGACCTACTATGTGCCAGGCTTCACACCATATGTTTTAGTTGCATCATCTCATTAAATCCTTACAAAGACCAGATAAGACAGATCACAATTCTTCTACTGGTGGGGATGTTGAGGTAGCAGGGTGATGGAGAGGCTGTGGTTAGAGTAGAAACGATAGTCTTAAGAGCTGCATTGTCCAGTATGGTCACCACGAGCCATATGTGGCCTTTTAATTTTAAATGGATATAAATTAAACAAAATTAAAAACTCAGTTCCTAAGTTACACGAGCCACATTCAAGTGCTCAGTAGCCACGTGGGGCCAGTGGCCACCTTATCAGTCAGTGCAGACATAAAACATTTCCCTTTTCACAGAAGATTCTATAGGAGATCGCTGCTTTAGAGTCAGAATTTTTTGGGTTTGAATCCTGTCTCTGCCACTTCCTAGGAAAAACAAACTTAACCATTTATGGACTTCCATTTTCTCAGCCGGAAGATTAAGATAAAGCCCCCACCTTGCAGGGTCATGCAAGGACTTAACCTTTTATAAATGAAACACCCAGCGCTGGGCTTAGCATGTAGTAGAGGCACATTTGTGAGATGTTAAAGTGCTAGCCACAGAGAGGGGTAGTGACTTTCCCAAAGTCACACAGCACATTGCAAAGGGGTAGGAGCTGGGGTAGGAGTGTTGGGCACAGGGCTCTGGAAAACCATGACCCTACCGCCACCACCCCTCAAAGATGGGGCCTCCCCAAGACAAAGCAGAAAGGATGACAATGCTATCAAGAACTTCTCTGGCATAGTCAGTATATCCCCATCACCACACCACCCTGGGGTGAAAAGTTCTCACCTTTCTTTATGGTTCTCTGGAAGACGTGTGCATTCTCCCCCGTGGTGAAGAACTTAAAGTAGGTGCAGTTTGCTTCTGTGGGAGCAGGAGAGAGAAAGGGAGGTAATGACATGGAGGTCCCGAGTGGAAGTTCAGGACCGGGCATTTATCATAGCTCACAGTAGCCTAAAAATATGACATTAGCATCCCTGATATACGGAGGAGAGAAATGATGCTCAGAGAAGTAAAAGCCACCTGCTATTACACAGCTATCCAGGAGCTGGGATTCCAATCCACAGCTTTGAGGTCCAGACCTGTGGCCTGGAGCGGGCTATTGACCTCTCTGGGCCTCTGATTTTCCTCTATAAAATGAGATAATGGGTATCTTTTCTGACTCTGTCATATGGGTTTGTTGAGGGTCAAGTGGGATTAGAAATAGATAATCACTTTATTCAACAAAAGACACTAAGATACAGGCAACAGAAGGCAACAGACTCAGAAGAGATTCTTATCTCACAAAGGATTCCTGTCTGGACTACACAAAGAACTCCTGCAGATCAGCAAGAAAAGAGAGGTAATCCAATTGAAAAATGGGCAAAAGATATGAATAGTCAATTCCTAGAAGAGGAAGCCTGGATAACTCAGAAGTACAAGAAAAGGTGTTTCACCTCACCAGGGATCACAGAAATGCAACTTAAGTCAGCAGGGAGCTGCCACTTTAGATCAATTAGATTGGTAAATATTAAAAGGATAATATCAAGCATTGAAAGGATAAGAGGAAACAGCTGGGAGCATAAACTGGTACTAATCTTTTTGGAAAGCACTCTGACACACTTCATAAAATGAAGTATGTTTATACCCTACAACCCAAAAATTTCACCTCTGGGTATACATCCAGGAAAAAACCACATGCAGGAACATATATGTGGATGTTCACTGCAATATTGTTTATTACAACAGGGCGTTGGAACCAACCTAGGTGTCTATCTCTAGGGGAACAGACAAGTAAATGTGATGGATGCTCCCCATGCAAATCTCTGAAGCACATAATAGCCACAAATTAGAATAACAGAAAGCAGCATGGAGAGATCTGAAAACACAGTATTGAGCAAAAAAAAAAAAAAAATCAAAAACAAAAATCTATAGCACAGGGCCGGCCCCATGGCTTAGCGGTTAAGCGCGCGCGCTCTGCTACTGGCAGCCTGGGTTCGGATCCTGGGCGCACACCAACGCACCGCTTCTCTGGCCATGCTAAGGCTGTGTCCCACATACAGCAACTAGAAGGATGTGCAACTATGACGTACAACTATCTACTGGGGGGCTTTCGGGAAAAATAGGAGGAGTATTGGCTATGGATGTTAGCGCAGAGCCGGTCTTCCTCAGCAAAAAGAGGAGGATTAGCATGGAGGTTAGCTCAGGGCTGATCTTCCTCACAAAAAAATAGATAAATAAAAATCTATAGCATGATGTCATTGTGTAAATTAAAAATACATATATATATATATATATATATATACACAAAGTAACACCATATATTTTCCAAGTTAAAATATATATCCATGGATGCATATCAAACACATTACAGAGATGAGTTAGGAAAGAATGAGAAAAAAGAAGAAGAATGTAAAATAAAGCACAAGAAGGATCTTGCAAAGGCTGGTAATGATTTTGTGACATACACTGAAGAGTATGATTCATCCAACTTTGTATACATGAAGTCCAAGAAATCCTAAACTAAAAAAACAAAAAAGGCACTTTCTAAACTGCACTTTAATGCCAGAACTTCCCACAGAATTCACCTAGTCCAACTTTCTCATTCTACAGATGGGGAAACTAAGGCATGAAAAGGGAGGAGAGGGGCAGAGAATAAGAGGGGTGAAAGGAATAGGAGAGGGGCCAGGCGGTCTGGGGAAGTGGAAAGGAATTTTCTAAATTGAAAGAAGATGTGGAGGGACAAGAGATAAGCTCCTGAGTCAGGTTTGGGACACTCCTCCTGGTACTCTGCGGGAAGGAGAGGGCATGAGATGTCCCGCCAGGAGCAGTGGGAGGTGTGGATACTCTGCCTGGTACTCTGCGGGAAGGAGAGGGCATGAGATGTCCCGCCAGGAGCAGTGGGAAGTGTGAATCCTTATCCTGGAGCAGCAATCCTGCAGCAGCAAGAAGGAAAGGATGCTTCATGCAGCAGAGCGAAGGGCGAGGGTGCTATTTGTGGAAGTCAGTGGGGGAAACGTGGTCTTCACCAAAGAGGGAAATGTGAAGTGCCATCTAGAGAGTAAGAAGGTGTGGTACATCTTTCTGGGAGAGTGTGGGGTGTCTAGCATCCCATTTTGGCTACTAATGATTTAGGACATCTTGTCCCTGACCCCAGAAGATATGGCATACTCCATTTGGAAAAGAGTAGGACATAGGTCACCGCCTTGTAGCCCCTTGGGATGTCCTTTGATGGGCAGTGGGATATTTCTGAGATAAAGTTGTGACATGTCTTCTGAAGGGTGAGGATTGTGGGATAATGGTGATGGTCCTGTAAAGAGGTTGAAGTCCTTTGTGACCAATAGGGGGACATCAAGGGATATGAGGGACCCCATATTATACAGTGAGGTGGGGAAGGACATCCCCTCCAGTGCAGCAAGAACCTTTGGGACATCTTTATGGACTAGTGAGATGCAAGATGGTGTAGTTGCCAAGAACAGAGACAACCAGGGTTCAAAGCCCATATGGCTAGCCTGGGTGCATGGACTGAGCCACCTACGTTTCTTGCTCCTCATTTTTCTCTTCTGTAGAATAGGGAAGATAATAACTACTTATAGGATTGCTATGAAGATTAATGAGTTAACGCATTTGAAGTACTTAGAACAGAGCCAGGCACTACATAAGCACCTGACATTTTAATTAGTGGGGTATCCCATTTTGCAAAAGTTTGGGAACTTCTTGCTTGGGGTCCTGGGGGATGAGAATGAGCTCATTTGTAGAAGTGAAGTGTTTAATCTGGACACTGAGTGGGGGGGTACCTCAGAGAACAAGGAGTACTTGGCATCCCACTTTGCTATCAAGGGCTTGGGACATCCTATTTTGGACCATATGGATGTAAGGTATCACATCTGGAGAAGTGAAGGAGGGAAATCCCATCTGGAGCCCAGGGGGATAGACTTTCTTTGAGGGGTATTGAGATTGTAGGACATCCTTTGGAGAGTAAAGAGCATTGGAGATTTCATATGGGTGATCAAGCATATGACAACCTGAATGGGCCCTGAGGGGTGTCAGATAGTTTCCTTGGGTCAGTAGAGGTGGAGCGAGATCCCTTTCCCATGCCCAAGGGGTATAGGATGTCCCACTGGTATGTCCCAAAGGGCATGGTGTGCCCTGTCAGGGAGAGTGAGAGGTATGGGATAGCTCTCTGGCATAGCTAGGGGTGAAAGAGCCACTCTGCGAGAAGGTGAGGGGTGTGGGTGTCTGTAACAGAAAACGAGAAGGGCTGGAGCATCCAGTCTGGGCAGTCATTGGTGAGAGGCACAGGAAATGAAGAAGAACATTTCCCGGAAAGCACCAGGTCGGCCCTGGAATGTTGGGAGGTGCTTGGAGAGAGCTTCATTTGGCAGAATCAGTAGGGGGGCACAGGCTGTCTGTGGGCACGCGCACAGGGGGGCACAGGCTGTCTGTGTGTGTGCACGGGGGGCACAGGCTGTCTGTGGGCATGCACACGGGGGCACAGACTATCTGTGGGCATGCACACGGGGGCACAGGCTGTCTGTGGGCATGCACATGGGGGGCACAGGCTGTCTGTGCGTGCGTGCGGGGGGCACAGGCTATCTCTGTGCGTGTGTGCGGGGGGCACAGGCTGTCTCTGTGTGTGCGCAAGGGGGGCACAGGCTGGGTCTGCACACAAGGGGCACAGGCTGTCTGCATGTGCATGGGGGGCACAGGCTGTCTGTTGGCATGCACATGGGGGGCACAGGCTGTCTTGGAGGGCAGGTATTATGGGGGTACTCAGGCTGTCTGAGGGCACCAGCTGTGTCTGGAGTCACAGGCTGGGTCTTGGGGCACAGGCTGTGGGTGGATGCACAAGGCTTCTCTAGGGGCACAGGGTCTCTCTAGGGGTACAGGCTGGTCTGGTGACACAAAAACGTCTGGGATCACAGGCTGTGCTGGGGGTACAGGAACTTTGGAGGTCATAGGATGGTCTGGGGCACTGGCTGGTCTAGGGGTACGGGTTGGTCTTGGGGCACAGGCTGGTCTAGGGGTACAGGCTAGTCTGGAGGTACAGGTTTTCTATCTGTGCACAGTTTGTGCCTGGGACAAAAGTTGTTCAGGAGCGCAGGCTGATGTGGGTACGGGCTCTTCCTGAGGGTGCACGCTCTCTCCTTGGGGCTCAGGCTGTTTCTAGGGCTCAGGTTTCTCAGACACGGGCCTCTCTCTGTGGGGTACAAACACTGGACTAGGGCAGCGGTCTCTCACCTCCAGGCAGCTCCGCCGGGCCGCAGGTCTCTCTGCCCGCTGGCATGTCGGCCTGCCACAGTCGCTTGGTGCACACCTTCCACAGCCCCAGGTGGGCAGCGTCGCAGACAGCACTGCCGTTGATCTTGTAGGTGTTGAGTTCCACCCAGAACTCGGTGCCCACGGCCAGCACGGCCAGCGTGGCGCCCACGGTGATCAGCAGCAGCACCAGCTTGATCTTTCCCTCCCGCTCCGGCGTCAGCCAGGACTTGTGCTGCCCTTGAGCCCGCCGCTGGCCCGCGGCCGCTCGCCGCCGGTCCTCCTCTTGCATGAAGAAGTTGGACCACATCATCATCCTTGTGGCCGGCCGATGGGGCTCAGGTGCAAAGGAGGCAGAGCCGAGGAGGGCTCCGGGGTGGGAAGGGAAGCGCCTGGGGTCTGGAAGGGGGTGAGGGGCTCAGTTTCCACTGGACTATGAAAAAGGAGGATCTGAATCCTCCTTGGAATCTCAAGGTTGCCTCTGGGGTTCAGAAGAGAAAAAACTAGATCCTCTGGCTGGGGACCTCTCTGAGGTTCGGAGGAGGGCCACAGAAATTCAGCAAAGAAGATGGGAACCAGAGGAAAAGTATGGTCCCCTTGAGGCTCAGAGCTGGAATCTGGGTGCCCAGGAGGGGGCCTGGGGGCTTCAGAGGAAGGAGAACTGAGTGGCAGCTTGAAGCTCTGGGGGCTGCTCTGGGGTCCCCACTGGGAGGAATCACCAAAGAGAAACTGGGTTTCTTGAGGGAAGGGATCTGAGGTCCCCACTAGGGCTCAGAGATTGGGGTACTCAGGAAGGGGAGCTGAGGTCCTCTATGTGTTTGACAGGAGATGCCTCCTGGCTTCTTTTGGGCTCAGAGTCTGGGGCGTGAGGAGTCGGGTCTCCTCTGGGGTTCAGAAGAGGAAGAGCTGGGGTTCCCAGGGGGAGCTCAGAGGGGGAGGTCAGAATTACTTCTGGATTTCAGAGGCAGGAGGATCCCCTAAGATTCACAGAAGGGGACCAGCTGCGTCCTGCCTGGGGTTTAGAGAAGGGGAGCTAGGGGCCTGCTGGAATTCAGGAAAAGGAGATGGTGGGCTCCCTGGCCATTCAGAGAAGAGAGATCAGAGAAGGTCTGCACTGGGGCTGAGAGACACAGTGGAGTCCAGAGAAGGGGGCCTAGAAACTCCCCAGGGCTCAGGAGGGGGACCTGGGGTCCCCACTGGGGCTCAGATAAAGGGGCTGTGGTCCGCACTGCGGCTCAGGAAATGGGGACAAAGTCCCTAGGGATTCAAAGGACAACCAGGACCCGGAAGGGACTCTGTGTCCCTGTGGGATCACTCGGCTCCCCCTCCCCCGGGCTCCCAGGGCCTGCCCGGCCGGGAGGGCTCCAGGCTCCGCGCCAGCCCCGGCGCCTCCCTCAGGCCTCCCACCCCGGTCTCCTGGGCAGAGACCCCTCTCGCTGTCCTGCCTCGGCGCCGCGCCGACCCCAGCTCCGCGATGCCTCCGGCCCGTCGGGTTCTGCACGCCACCGCCGCTCGGCCCGCCGGCCCCGCCGCTCCGCTCCCTCCCGGCCTCGCCCCCATCGCCCGCCCCTCACCCTCCTGGGCTATTTCGGGCTCGACCCGTAAATAACACCCGCACCTGTCGCCTGGCGCCTGTTGCCATAGGGATCCTGGGTATTTTAAGGGGACAAGGCGGGGGAGGAGGGAGGCCAGCCAAGGAGAAGGGGCTGGGGGCCGGGTCTTGACCCGAGTGGAGCCTGAAGGGACTTTTATTTCCTTAAGGGGCAAGGGCGGAAGCTAAGGGTCAGATCTCCGAGGTGGCCGGAGAAGGGGCAGGGCAGGGAACCCGGATTTTTGGTGCGGAGCAGGCCTGCTGGGGACCCGAACTGCTGGGTCTGAGGGAGGAGGGGCTGAGGGCCCGGACTCCCGGGTCTGAGGGAGGAGGAGCCCAGGGACTCAGTTTCCGGGCTTGAGAGTGGAGGGGACCGCAGACCTGAAATCCAGGAGGAGAGATCTGGGCACTCGGACTCCTGCGACTGAGGGAGGAGCAGACTGGGGCCCAGTTCCCAGAGTCTTGGAGGATGGAAGGACAGATTCATGCTGGGGTTCTCAGCAACCCTGGAGGGAGAAAGGGCAGGCCTTGGGGAGGGCTGGGTGTGAGGGGCACGGGACCCAGAGCCGCAGTCCTCTTCATCGAGTTTATTAGACGGGGCACCCCCGGGGGGCCGTCCATGCAGTTTCAGCTCCCCCAGGGGCCGGGATGGGGACAGCCGTGTGGAATGGCAGCAGGGCCTGATCTTCACCTCTTCACCCCCTCCCTCAGCCCTTCTGTGGACCGCCCAGGTGGGACCCACCTTTCACCAACTCCTTCGCCCACGTTGGTTGCTCTACCTGGACCTGGTCCTCCCCAGCCCTCTCTGACAACCCTGCCCTGGACGCCCACGGCCCACTGTGCCACTTCCACTGGAGCACGCATTGCTCTGGGATGTGACCGTGTGTGTCTGTGTCCGGCTCTCCCACCAGGTGCAAGAGGAACTCAGCTCAGTGTCCTCAGTACCACCCAGCCCAGGGCTGGGTACACAAGAGGCCTTAGGAAATGTGCACTAGGTGACTTGAATGAATGAATGAATGACTGGCTGGATGAATGGATGATGTGAGATGTTGACACACAGACATCTCCTCCCAAGCTAGGGAAGGTGCCTGCTGTGTTTCCTCAATGCCCCCCATCAGAGCACGCCTCCCTCTGCATTCTAATTGGCTGCCCTTCCTGTCTCCTGACCAAGGCAGCTCTCAGATTGCAGGGCCTGGCGCCTGGAAGGCCTCAGGCAGTATTTCTTAAGTGAATGAGTGAAGCCTGTTCTTCCCCTTCACCTCACTGGGTCTTCCCAGGCCTTGATGGGATCCAGAGGGGAATCCGAGAGTCTGCGTGATGCTGGCAGCAGCACAAGATGGGAGCTGGACAAAGCAGCCTTGGGTACGGTCCACCAGTGCCTCACTTCCGAGCAATCAGACACACCCTCCTGCAGCACCTCTGTCCTGCCCCCCGAATCCATCTTCCCCTCCTGGCCCAGGGTCTTCCCATCTTTCTCCATCTCACTCTCTGTAACAGCTCTCTCATTTCGGGGTGTATTTTTCTGTCTTCTGTCTCCCTGTCTGCCAGTCTCTCTATCTCTCCTTTCACAGAAAGGGTAAGAACTTTCTTTGGTATGAGAGTTCGTGTCACTTTCATCTCAAAAGGATGGCCTGGTCTCCTTTTCCCTCCATCCTCCCTCCCACATCCTTTCTTCCTTCCACTCTGCAGGGCTCCCCTCCCCACCATCGCACTGCAGTGACCTCCTATCAGGGTCACTTTGCTCTTGGGCTCTTTCTCCAGTTCTCAGCAGGATTGGGCACCACTGGCCCTTTGCTCCTGGTCTCTGCCTACCTCGTGGTCACCTCTCTCACCCTCTTTGCTATGTCCTCTTCTCCCCCTGATGCAGATGCCCCTGAGGATCTGGGCCGGGGTCTTCTCTGTCTGCATTCACCTCCTAGGTCACCTCATCTGGTCCTGTGGCTTTAAATGTCTCCTATATGCTGACATTTCCAAAACTTAAATTTCCAGCCATGACCTCTCCCCTAAGCTCCAGTCTCACATATCCAACAGCTACCTGACACCCCAACTTGGGTTTCCCACAGGCATCTCCACCTTGAGATGTGCAAAGGAGGATGCTTGAACCCTCCCACCCAAATCTTGATTCCTTCCCCTATGGCCCCCTTCCAGGCAACACACATCAGCACCCACCCAAGTCATACACGCCCAATTAAAAGAGTTCCCCTTTCTCCCACTTTGGTTTCCAATTTCGTCTTCTGCTACATCCAGTTCACCACCACTGTAGGCTCTGTCTCCCAAATCCCATGCCCTGTTCTTCCATTTCTCTCCATCCTCACCCACTCGACATTGGTCCAGGTCACCATCAGCCTCAACGGACCAGGACAACAGCCCCCTACCTCCTTACTTCCGCTTTTCACTCCTGAATCTATTCTCAGCACAGCAATGTGGTTCTGTTGTTTTGTTTTTAAATAAAAATACAATCATGTCATGCTTGTGCTCAAACCGTCCAAGGGAGGCCCTTGGAGTTTAGAATAAAATCCAGATTTCTTCCCAGGGCTATAAGGCCCCTCATGACCCGTCCCGAGCCTGTGCTTCTGGGTCACTCAGATGTGGTTACCCTTGTTAATCTGCTCGCAGTGGGGCCTCCTCACCAACCTGTGACTCCTGGGGGCTTTTGTGCTGCCTTTGGTGGCCAGAATGCTCCTCTATCCTATCCCCTTCCTTCTCACAACCCACATCTCTGTTCAAACGTTACCTCTGCAGTGAGGTCTTCTGGAGGCACCTCATCTAAAGTCGCCCTGGCCCCTCACTGTCAACACAGCCTGCTTAGTTTTTAAAGCACTTCTCCGTAACTGAAATTCTCTTTTATTGTTTGTCTCTCCTGTGAGCTCCAGGAAAGCAAGACCTTGACCATCTGTTCACCATCACGTGCCTGGGGCCTAGACTTAGTCTAGAACAGGTTGGTGCTCAATAAATATTTCTTGAATACTAGTGACAAACAAACAAAAGAAATGGATCATTCCTGTACACTATACTTGCTTCTGTTTTGCCACATTTCCTTCTGAGCATGTCTCTGGATCTTTCTCTGCGGTTCTACCTCTCCATCTCTGTGTATGTATATATTTTTGTATCTCTGAGACTTCTCTCTTCTGATTTGTGCATCTTTGTGTCAGTCTCTCTCCTGTCCCTTTTTTCTCGCCTCTCTGGATCACCTTCCCATGTCTTAGACTTTTGTTCCATCTCTCTGTGACTCACCTAGTTTTGGTCTCTTCTCTCCTTGTCCTTCCTCCTTCCATCTCCCCTCCTCCCCATTTCTCTCCCTCCATCTCCCTCCTCCCCATCTCTCTCTCTCCATCTCCCTCCTTCCCATCTCTCTCTCTCCATCTCCCCTCCTCCCCATTTCTCTCCCTCCATCTCCCTCCTTCCCATCTCCCTCCCTCCATCTCCCCTCCTCCCCATCTCTCCCTCCATCTCCCCTCCTCCCCATCTCTCTCCCTCCATCTCCCCTCCTCCCCATCTCTCCCTCCCTCTCCCCTTCTCCCCATCTCTCCCTCCATCTCTCCTCCTCCCCATCTCCCCCTCCATCTTTCCTCCTCCCCATCTCCCCCTCCATCTCTCCTCCTCCCCATCTCTCCCTCCATCTCTCCTCCTCCCCATCTCTCTCTCCATTCTGCCCATCCTCCACCTCTTTCTTCCTCTGTGTTTGGCCTTTGGACCCTAGAATCCACTACCTCCTAACCAGTTCTGCCCCTCTCCTCCACCAAAGAACGCCATCTCCCACCAAATTTGTCTCTTTTAACTCAACCTCTCCCAGTCTCTCTTCTCTCCATTTATCATCCCTACACTACATTCTCCTCTGTCTAGCTCATTTGTGTACCTTTCCCCACATTTTCCAGCATCTCTCTCTGAAACTGCCCCCTCGGAATTCCTCCCTGCTCCCCTGCCCTCCAGCCTGTCTCCCTTCCTAGTCCACACAGACCCCAGATAGAAATTCCCAACACCCAGTTCTGATCCCATCCTGCCTCTGTTCTACCCCTGTCTGCTGCTCCATGTTATGAAGAGAGAGGCTGGCAAAGCCCCTGGCAGCGTGGCACCATTGCTAAGGACTTTTCTCCTCTCTGTGTCCCAGTCCATCTTCCCACCAGATTGGGAGCCCCTGGAAGGCGGGGCAGGATCTGAATCATCTCGCACTCCCAGCATCACCGAGCACAGGGCCTGACACATGGCAGACCTTGGGAAATATTTGCTGAGCAAAAGATGGGAAACCCACTAAGCACTGTCCTCAGTGACCTTCAAATCCATCCACCCCACAGCCCTGGCCCACCTCAACTGCCATCCTCTCTGATTATCCCAGAGCATTGGCCTCCTGTTCAGCCCTGTCCCACATCCCAGGGGGCTCCTTCTAACACCCACGTCTGCTCCTGCTCTTCTGCTGCTCAGAACTCTCCCGTGTCTCCCCGCTACCCTTGGAATAAAGTCCAGACCCCTCAGCCTGGAACTGCAGCACCTTTCCACTCTGGCTTCTAGCTGCTTCTCTCCCTTACCTCCCACCCCACCCTGCCCTTCAGCTCCCAGAACTGTGAGCACTGTCCCCAGTACAGCATGTTGTTTCACCCCCCAGGCCTTTGCCCAACTTGTTCTCCCACACCACCACCTGCCCCAGCTCCCCACGAAAGCCTTCTTCACCCTCTTCACCACCAGGCAGACTCCTACTCATCCTTCTAAAACCCAGGCGGGCATGACATTCTCCGGAAGTCTCCCCCGAGTACTACCCACTCCTGGCAGCTGGTTACTCTGTTCTTGGCTCAGGGTGCCCATCGTGGCCCCTGTTACAGCACCAATCACTGGGGATCCTGATTCTAACACACTGCCTGGTACCTTAGCAGAGGTGCAAAAATGTCAACGAGTGCATGGCTGAATTAATGAGTGAAACACGAATCTCTGAGTCCCAGTGTTTCTCCTGCACACCAGACACCATGCCTGTGCTTCAGTATTTGTGTAATTATCTGCTTCCTCCCACCAGTGTGAGTTTCAAGGGCCAGTGCCTGTGTTTGATGCTGAATTTCAGCATGTGTCTGCCTCTCACTCTCGCCTCTGAGTTCCTGCCTCCCTTTGTACACCATTCACAGTAAGTCCCTGCTTAAAGTCATTCCGTGGCTTCCCACCACCCTTAGAATAAAGTCGAAACACCTGACCTAAACGACAAGTCCCTGGGCAGTCTGGCCCTGTCTGCGTCTCCAGCCTCTCTACACATTAGCCCTCCCTGGAAGCTTTTCCTGCCCCAGGGCCTTTGCATATGCTGTTCTCTGGCTGAGACACATCCCCCAGCTTCACCTGGCTGGCTTCTTGTCATCCTTGCAGTGTCAGCTAAAATATCCCTTCCTTTTAAACTGGGTTTTGCTTCCCAGATGGAGCATTTCATAGCCTTTCCTATTTCTCCTACGTCCTAACTGTAACTTACTGTTTGTTCACACAATTCTTTGAGTAATGTCTATTTCATACACAAGATGTAAACTTGAAGACATTGAGGACCCTGACTGTCTTCCTCCCTTCTGTGGGCTCAGCATTCAGCACAATGCCTAGCGCTTAGGTACACAAAAAATTTCGGGTAATGAATGAAGGAGTCCCTCTCTGCATGTTGACGTTCCGTCCCCAGGGCCGGGGTCCTGGTACACAGCAGGTGCGGAATAATGAATGAAAAAGTAAATGAATGCCCACGTCCACCCCCTGTCCCTTCGCCTTTCTGCATCCCTTCTCTTTACCTTTGTCTCTTTAGATAGAGCATGTATAAAGTTTGTAGGTATAACTATATATTCGTGTGTTACGGGCCCCTCTCCAGGAGTTGGGCTGGGCTGGGAGTCCCTCCCTCCCACCGCCCCGCCCCCACATGCACACAGCAAAACATTAAAAAGAAAACATCTCAAAACTGCAAAAAACACCACAGCCCTCCCGCCTCCCCCCCAATCCCACAAAAAAATAAAACACGACGCTCCCTCACAACGGCCCCCTGCCTTCCCTTCCCCCTCCCTCGGGGTCCCTGATTCGGAGGGTGGGGGCGCTCCTCCACGCCCGGGGGGTGGGGAGGGGGCGCGGGGGAAGGCCAAGCAGTCTCCAGCGTGCTCACGGGGAGGGAGGGGGGCGCCCCCGACCCCCGGCAGCCTCGTTGCACGCGCGCCCGCGCACGCGCCCCGGACACGCCCCCCTCGGCGCCCCCCGTCGCGCCCCTACACGGGCGTGGTTTTCCTGTTGAGCGTGTT